AGAGAGAGAGAGAGAATTTCGGGGGGATAGAAAAGAAAAAACGAAAACTATAATTGATACACGCGAATAGAGAAGCTCGCACACCACTCACGAAATATAAGAAGTAATTATTCTCATCATTATTGATTAGTATTTAAGCCTATCTCGAAGAGATATCAATCTTTCGCATTTACTTCGCTATTGATATCGTATGTAGATCGTTGAGAAAAGAAAACGTTCATCGTATAAAGAATATACTTTGTGAATTCCTCCGCAATCCTTGTGAAAATACTCCCATCTCCTGAGAGAATAAATTACACATTACGTTTTATTTAATAAAATTTATACCAACATGTAAATTTTATTAAATAAGACTAACTTTCCCATGCGCAATGAGAAAACAATAATACACGAGAGACACACCCAGAATTCTAACGGGAGTCATAATTATACACCAGTCGACGTCTTTAGCTTTCGAGTCTAAATATTTTAATTATTAAAAATAATATAAATAATAAGAGTAACGCGCTCGTGCGCGAAATGAGAGAAATGTTGTTGCACCACGAGCTTGCTGAAAAGCAGCCGTTAACGATATGTTAAACATAATTATAATCTAAGGACGATATTAAAAAGTAAACAATATAAATATATATAGATATAAACAAGAATATATATACATATACACGTATGTATATGTATATGTATATGTATATTATGGAGACTTGTATTAATTTTGATGTGCGCAACTGTAGTTGGAGTGTTGCGTGCGATATGTAAATAATAATAATAATAATTCTTTGTTTCAGCAAATTATTATGCAGCAAAGTATCTGTGAAACGGATCTTTCGCTGATAGAGAGATTCAGATTTACGCCCGAACAGATTTTCAATTTATATCCTAATTTCAATATTATTTTACATATACAAATTTTCCTTAAATTTTTACGACAAAAAGTAATGTATAAATATAACGTGATATGTATTTTAACTTAGAAAGAAAGCTTACTTTACTTATCAGTATACTTACTTTACTTATCACAATATGAACTTCTATATTAATTAGAATAACATTTACGCACGAGCCTACATTTCAGTTTTTATAAGTTCAATTTTAAAAATATAGAGATGAAATTAACATATATACATGAATATTTATAATGCTATATTAATATATCATTTTAAAGTTGTAATAAATTGCCAATTATGAAAAGCACGCGTTACGTACATTGTGTGAGAGACAAATTTCTGTTCCTGTGCGAAAATCTGTGTGAATCTTTTCGTTTCATCGATATTCTGCGCGATCATGCCACAGAAGGAATAAAATTAACGACAACATAGCGAGAGATCTCATTGAGAATTAAATAAATTAACGTTGCACTGCCACACCGGACCAACAAAGCCGAAAAACAAATGACAGAAGGGATTCGAAGAAAAGGAGAGAGGAAAGACAGAAAGAACAAATGCAGAAAGAGAACCAATAATCCTTAATCGATTTCCTTTAAAGAGAAGCTATAAAGAAGATATATATGAAACCGAGACCCTTCCATGTTTAACGAATGTGAACGAGTGCGTAGTTCCATATGCGTATGCGTGATTGGAGAGTGAAAGAAAAAAGAGAGAGCGAGCGAGAGAAAGGTAGGCAGAGGGAAGAAGAACGGAAGAATACGTGAAACGTTTTTCTTCGGCAAACAACGTCTTTGTATACTCTACCCGTGTTGTAAGGAGAAAAGAAACCACGATTCTCTTGTATATGTACATCAATATCTCGATAGTAGCCGTAAGCCTAATTAGTGAGTCGCGGATTTGCGATGGAGCCGATGAGATGAATACAATTTCGTATTCGTGCAATTTAATTGCAAAACGATATCGCGATTGGCTCGATTCACTTCTTTCTTATTTATTCTCGGTCGTAGAACACACATCTGTGCAGATCGGTCGCGTAAATTATTTATTTTATTTATTACGTAAATTTTTATTTACACACGAAATGATACTTATCTTTGTGTAACAACATTATACAAATCTACTCAAATAAATTGCATAGCGCTCGACGTTGTATAAATAATCGAATTCTCTTTCACGGCGACTTATTTCAATCGAGCTTCATATTTATTTTGCAGCAATTTCGGGTATACTTCTATAACTTCATCAAGTCGCGAATACGCAAGAGACAGGACAGCGAAGAATTTGCAATATACGTGCGTGCCGGAAGCAAATCCGCGACGCATTATTATTTAACATAATGTAGTGAGTTTTCGATGTCTTCGAGTATAATTACAGTTTGTACACGTATACATAGTCTTACACACAGACACATCACACACACACACACACACACACACACACACACACACACACACACACACACACACACACACACTACTACACCAC